TCAAACTTCTGAAAATAAAACAGTCAGGTGAGATCAGTGTCAGAGTCTTGGGCAATCTTATCTTCTGTCACTACCTAAGACTTCTCTTAGTGTTCTCTTGATGGTGCCACTGAGGCATGCCATCTTCCTAGTAGCTTCAGGTGTGAGGCAAGGTCTAGCCCTACGCTCTAGGAAAGGATCTGGAGGATCTATCTCAGGTAAGGCCATACGGGCCCAGGAGTCTGAGCTAGCATGCCTGCTAATCATGTCTGAACACATATTAATGTCCCCAAACCACTATGCAGTCAGTTACTCTACCAATGAGCTATACTCCCATAACAACTATGAATTTATGTTCATATGGATTTTGTCTGTGCTGGTGCTTGGGCCAAGGCCTTGTGAACGTTAGGAAAATATCACTGAACTTCATCCCTGATCTATGCGTTTGTCCAGCTGGTCCCTCCTTTGGTGTTCTTCTTATGATTTCTGCAAAACATATTTTTTATTGACTTGTTTATCTATTTGTCTCTGAACAGCATAGTGGCCCACAGGTGTCATGCCTGATTATGGTAAGAACTGTCCTTACAGTCATGAAGGTATGGTTCTAGGCCTCTCTCTCCCTCCAACTCTGACTTTGAGCAGGTCACATCAAGAATGCTCTGTCGTCACATATAAGATCACAGCCCCTGAGTCAGACTGTGCTCTGAAACATTAATTCTAATTACTCTGAGGTACTGGACAAGTTCTCTGGGTCTCAGGTTCTTCAGCTCTAGACTGGAAGTGGTAATGATTCTTGTCCCACAGCTTGTATGAGATAGATGGTGACGGTTTATGTTCCTGTGACTTTTTCATACAGGTTTAAACATTGGCTATACCCAGAGGCCTTGTCTGAACCCTCAGCCTATCACGCATGCTCTTACATATTCTCTCTGCCTCAATACATCTTGTTCTGTTCACCACATTCCAAGTATTACTATGGCAAATTACTTGTTTATTGTAGTCTTCTCTCTACAGAAATAAATGACGTTGTTGCCTCTTGACCAGCAGCTAAAATAATGTTCGTGTTAAAGCTTCTCAGTAAGCATTGAAGGAATGATAGATTTATGCAAAACATGCGCATCTTAATAAATATCAGCTGCCTTGTTGTAATTCTTTTCATATACTTCTGAGCTGTAGTTTCCACTTTATCCATCTGTAAAGTGAGAACAGTACCCTTCTCATAGAATTCTGAAGAATGAGTGCGTATATGTGCCTAGGGGAAGAGGGTAGTGAGTGTTGTCCGTTAGTGCTCACGGTTGTTTCTGAGGCGATGAGGTGCTGAACCACATTCTCCCCAGCTCTGACAGGCTAAGGCCATCCAGCCTTCTTCACATGCTGTTTGCTGGGAGCTTTCATCCATTGGTTACTATTGGATGTCAACCACATGTATGAATTCCCTTGATATTTTCCTGTGCCCTGGATATCCTTCTCTAGGACCACACCTCTGCCTCATCTTTATTGATTGTAAGCTGTGGAACAGGCCTTGGGAATTAAGACTACCCGGGCTCCTGAGACTTACGCTAATGTCTCGGAGAGCTGAGGAGTTAATCTCTTAAACTTCTGCCAGTTTTATAATTACAAGGAAATCTCATCTGGGACATCTCTTCTGAGCCCAGTAGAGGCAACAAGGGATGAATCGTTGCCTCTGCTTTCCAGAGGAGAGGACAAGGCAGACAAGTTATGTGTGATTACTAATGATCTACAGTAAAGCCTTCAACTTGTCAACTGCAGTGTCCATGACTCACTACTTTGACTCCTGTGGGGGACAGTTTGGTTTCTCTTCCTTTCTCTTCAAAATATGCACACTCTACACGACCTAAAGTGATACAGAACATGAGCTGTCTGCAGCATGGGCTTTAGGGAAGAGTTTCTCACTTCATTTCCCTCCTGTTCTAAATTACCAGATGTCACTTGGCCCCAGGGGAATCTGCTTCATGCCACAAACCATCTCACGAGACCGCCAAACAAAATAAAAATTATTTACTTACCAAGGAATTTTCAACTGAGTTCTGGTCTAGATCTAGAAAAATCTCAGAAACCAGTTTGCTCTCATCACAAATAAGTATCCTGTCCCTGGATGTGGGGCATGCTTTTGCAAAGACCTTATATGTAGTTGGGGAGCCACTGATACCGATGGCCATTCTGTGAACCCCAGGCTACACTGTATGACTGTAGCTGTTTAATTGAGCATGTACTGTGTCCCCACAGATACTAGATGTGCTTTTCCCAGCTTTTTTTTATGCCTCTCTCTTTTAGTAAGCATTGCATTTCCTTTTAGTGGGTGCATAGAGGTCCCCGTAATTTTTCCCAGTATCTTTTGGCAACTATGAAATGAACTAAAGTTCACTTAACTCCATTCTAGGGGACTAATTTTAGTGATGGTGACTTGAAGTACAAGATCATTAATTATTCGGGGAGATGAAAATGGCTGGACTAGCACTATAATTCTTCTGTAGTTACCAGAGGCTCCTTAAGTCTTGGTTCTGTGTTGTTGCTGACATAAACCTTTTATTTGGGCAGAGTCTAGTGGGGCTGTCTGTATGGACTATTGGCAATAATAATATGGAGAGAAGAACATTTTGTCTTTCTGTTAGAATAGTATCTTTCTAATAACTATATTTCTCCAAAGTGTTGAATAAATATTACTACAAACTACTATTTTATAAACAAATATGACTGACATACCATTTTATGCTAATTATCCACCTCCCCCCTTCTCACACACATGGGGGCGCTGTAGATGGTGCAAGAAAATTACATCCAGTGGAGACACGTGGAATTCGAGCTGGTCCATGTCCTCCACAAATGTAGATTTCTCCCCCTTTGCCTTATCATTAAAATAAGTTATACAAAATGGCTTCAGTGGACTCCAGCTCACAAAAAAGATTGATAGATTAGCAGAGGTTACTGACCACATTGGTCAAAATGTGACGATACAGGGCTTTATTTTCACAAATGCGAAAAATGCTGGCACTGAAATCACAACTTGATTTGCACACACGCCATCCCATTTTATCCCCCACTGCAACTTCTACAGCCCTTTTGACTTCCAGAGCCACCACCTTCTCGTCCCCCTCAAGATATCACAGCTTCTTCCACAGCCCTTTTTGACTTCTAGAGACATCACCTTCTCATTCCCCTGAATATGTCACAGCTTCTTCTATGGTTTTGGTTTGAATAATAAGTTTTAGGTCCATTAACTCCATCATCTGCTGAGATGCTTGAAGCCCCCAACCTCAACTTCCCCCTTTGCCATTCAGAACAGCTTTGCACTCATTCTTCCTCCCTCCTGCACCTATGGCTGCAGGCGAATCTTCTTACATCTTCCCTTCTCAACCCTCTCAGCCCAGTCCCTCCCACCAGGTGCTGCTCTTTCCAGAAATCCCTCTTCCCGGGACCCACTCTCGCTCTTTTGTGGCATCACGCACATCTATGACCTCTGTAAAATTAGGATAAGATGTGCTGTGATTGATAAGGGAATAAATACTCACGGAATAATTATTATTCCTGGCCCTTATCCAAACAAAAATGTGCTACCTTGTTCCCTAGTCCCTAACCTCCCATCTAACAGTCTCGCAAGGTCCCCCGCTACCACCCCATTTCCCCTTTCTTCACTTCAGCTTGTCAGATTTTGCTGTCTGCCACTTCCCCAACTTCCTCTTCGCTCACATTTTTTTCAACCAGTTTCTGCCGCTCAACCGAAACTTCTCTGTAAAAGGCCTTCTCTGGGCACAGTGCCTTGGGTCACTTTATTTTGCCAACTGCTCAGACTTAAGAGGTTTAAACAAGGGGGCTTATGAGCTGGCTCAGGTCATGTGTCACAAGCGTGAGGACCTAAGTATGGGTCTCAGCATCCACATGAACTCCAGCTGTGGTAGCATGCCCCCCAGCATCCACATGAACTCCAGCTGTGGTAGCATGCCCCCCAGCATCCGCATGAACTCCAGCTGTGGTAGCATGCACTTGTAACTTCAGTGCAGAAAGTCCAATCCCTGGAGCTTGTTGGCCAGCCAGTCCAGCCGAATTCATAAGTTTCAGATTGAGTGAGGGACCTGTCTTGTGACTGAAGAAGGCATCTACCATGAAGCTCCATCTTCCACGTGTGTGCATGGATGTGTACAGACACACTCAGGCTTGGAGGCAGATTTTACTCTTGCTCCTTCAGCTCCCTCCCATATTCAGGCACTAGCAAAACCACACTATTTCCACAACTGCAGTACCTCACACACGGGCCTTTTCTCTACGTCTCCTATCACCTGCGGATTTATCCTGATTTCCTTTCCTGGTAGAGCACAAGAAAAAAACGGTCTTATGAATCAGACCAGCTATCTGGCTTATTGGCAAGGCTGATGGCCCAGGTTCCCTCAGAAAACTGACTCCTGCGGTTATCCTCTGACTTACATGTGCTGGCCTCTGCTCACCACCCATTGCCTACAGCCATTCTGAGAGGGCGGCAGTTAGGAGGAGGGTGGCACAGCCAGTCTTGAAATCACCACAGCTGAAATCACGCTGCCCTTTGAAAGTCTCGCCAGGAGCACCCCAGTCTGAAAGACTCTCTAGTCTCTCAAACCGCGACTCTCCTCATCCACCTCCCTTTCCAGTCATTTAAACAGAGCAAGCTCATTTCTTACCTGGGTCTCCAAGTCTTCAAGGCTCAAGGGCCGGTTTAGACAGGGCTGAGTCAGCTGTCCGCTTCTCCTATCTCAAGTACTTGAAGATGGGTGAGATAGACCAGGCCTGGGGCTGGTGCCTCTGATTGACACCAGGTGACAGGAAATCAGCCGCTTCTGCTACCTTGAGACTTGATCCAATCACATTGCTTTGATAGAAAGGATATACAAAAAAGTTTGTGCCTTACCGGGAGGTTTCACTTCTTGAAAAATACCCCCGGGGCCTGTCGGCTGTGCTTCATGCTACCTTAGTTAGAAGAAGTTCTCCAGCCACCACCCTGGAAGCAGCTGTGGGTGGTGGGTCCCTAAGGGCTAGGAGGGCGCCAGAAACTCTCCAGAGATGGGCTGCTCGGCGGGACGGACTTTACCTTCACGCTTCACTTTTCGGGTTGAGCAGGTGGGGAGGCACCCATGCAAAGACTCAGAATCCCCGAGCAGGTCCACTTGGGAGTCCTGGACTTGTCGCCTTTCAATCACATTTCGCATTTGCGCATACACTGTTCTAGGGGGCTATGTAAATCTTGTGTCAAATTTAGCAGAAATGCCCTGAAATATCATTTGTTCTCCATAGCACATGCACCCAGAAGCGTGAGGCAAGCAAGCTCTATTTCGGGTGCTGTGAACTGAAATGCCACGCTTACATATGAGCCCACCCTTCTCCTCCACCTTCCTGCTGCCCTCTCTCTCTGTAGTATTGCCTGGAGCTGTGTGGCCAAGTTCAGTGCCAGGTCAAGGAGGTAAGTGGAGCGAGTTGGTTGGCATGGGGAAACTCTAAATATCTGGAGGAGAATAAAAGATTTTCTTAAGGGTATTATTATCCTCTCTTCCATATGCAACCTCTATGCTCATATGTTAGGCTTCTTAATAATTTTTAATTTCGTTGTCAATTACTTTATTTCATTGGCGATAGAGAGGTGTAGAGAGGTAACTGTGCCCACTTAATCTGAAGGGTTGGCACACAGGAACTATATTAACGAATCTGAGGCTACTCACCTCTCTCGCGCCTCTCGTTTCCCCCTCTCCATTTAAGCTGGTTCGGAGACGTATAATCAGGACCACTGAGCAGAAGCGTTTCTGGGGAGGCTGGTTTTGGTGGAACATACAAGGGTCATCCCTCCATTACTGAAGTAGTTTGTTAGTGGGACAAGCTGCTGTTTGGGTAGAGAACACACTGCCACTCAGAAAACTCAGGTGACAGCCTGACAGTCACTAGTCAGAACGGCTACAGTGAGGAGGGGCATGAAAATGGCAGGTCCCCCGACCACTAAAGATTCTTGGGCATGTATCTGTTGTAGTGTGTCAGTAGATATGATGATGTAATGCCTTAGTCTGATTGTGCTGCTCCAGTAAAACAGCCAAAACTTTTGCAAATTTATAAATAACAAAGACATTACAATTTATTAGTCTGGGAAGGTTCCAGGTCAATGGCTCCATGCCGGACAGGGCTTTTGTGCTCTGATATCCCAGTGGGAAAGACATGAGAGCCAGAGAACACACACTCACGGAGGGATTGGGGATGGGTACTCACTGGTTTCCATGGTGACAGTGTTAGTGTTTGTAAGGGCAGAGCCCTTATGGCTAATCACCACTTAAGGCCCACTTCTCAGTACGGTCACAATGGGAGCTAACTTTTCTAATTAAGGTCTTTAAGAATATGCTCAACCCAGGCTCTCCAGGCTGGAGATGACTGTGAGACCTGCAGCTTGTGTCCAGGCATAGTGGGTGGGTTAGAGATATGTGCCTTTCAGTGCATTGCGTGTGGGAGCAGGGTGAGGCCTTGTGGATGTATAGCCTTTGACAGTCCTGTCCAGGCAGGGATGCACAACCTAACCTTCATATCTTTTCCTAAGTTCCATTTTCTTTGCCGTGGGATGTTTATTCTTCTTGTCTTTCTAGCCAGTGAGATGGCCTTGTCTCCATGTGAATCCTCCCAAACTGACTCGAGTTCAGGTTACATCTTCAACTCAAGTTGTCTCGGCTGGTTTGGACTGAGCGTGCTCAAATGCCCACCACAAGTAGGACTTGTGAACCATACTGCATCGGAATCTCCATTTTCTCCTGCTTTATGTTTGACATTTTGTTGATGCTATTACACCCTTAACAAATCTTTCCTTTGAAATATCATCTTGTCCTTATCCCATGCTTCTGAGTTTGAAAAGATGCTGTCTGACAGTGTACATAAAAGTAGAACAAACAACTTTTACCTGGTTAGCCTTTGCAGACCCACATAGTCTCAAGTCCCCATCTCTCAGTACTGTGCTTCCCTCTTCTGAAGACTGCAATTTACACTATGATTATTTTGACATTTCCTTATTCAGCCATTGGTTTCTATGTCTTTTAAAAGCAGGGCTATGCTTTTCTGAGTCTTGTGCTTCTGGAATGTTACAAGACCTAGGGACTCTGTTGGGCTTTTTCTCCCATGAAGGTGAGGACCAGTAAGCTTCTCAGAATTAGTAAGTAAGGTGACAGCCTGTTGTTGACTGCTTAGCAGAGCCCTGGCACCCACAGTTATCTGCCTTCAGAGGGATTTTGTTTCAGAGCATTGGTAAGGGAGAAGCAGGGTCCTCAGAACTGAGGTTCAGTATTGAAGTGAGATCGAATCTGGCTACAGGCCTGAAGATCCTAATGTTGTACTTACAATATAAGTTCAGATACTTAACATTTTTATAGTTCTTTGTATTCTGGAGGCATGTTTCCCAGTTTTAATAGGAAAGTAACATTCATCAGATGTCCATTCATATACCAAGCTCTGCCTGTGTAGAAAGTCTGCCAACATAGTATCAAATGATAGCTTTATGATTAAAGAAACCAAGGCTCAGGAAATGGAGAAACTAGCCAGTAAACACACTGCTAGAAACTGATAAAACTAATGTTTTAAAAGCAAGAAAATCCTAATTATAAGCCCCTATACCATTTACTCAGAGACTTAAAAGCTCCACGTGCTGATGGTTCACAGCAAGGCATTAGGGAGGCGTTACTGAGTTTTAGCCTTGGAATTTAAAGCCCATAGTGTTTAAAACCTCTGTTTATGTCACATGACTTGTGCATGATAAAATAACATCTAATAATTAGTCTGCTAAGGCCTTACTTTTACGTGTCATGTTTCTCCTTTAACTATTTCTAGAGCTTGAACATCACTCACGCAGTTACCAAATATTCTTTGGCCAGTACCTCAATCCATGGGAAATAAAAACCTTGGTCTTTTGCCCCTCCCCCTCATACATGCACCTTCCAGCTTAGAGCTGACATGTAAGAAGTTTGTAAGTTTATTCATTTGAACAGGATGGAGTTCTTCCTGTGCCCAGAGCAGCATAAACTATGAGGTTTGCAGTTAGGAATCTTAATTCAAATCCTGGTTTTAAATGAGATGCCCTTGTGCTCTCAGAACAGTGGGCTGCTTTGAGTTTCATTCTCATGCCCGTGGCCGAAGGCAGACCTTCCTTAATGGGCAGCCACGACGGTTGGAATGGCATGGGCAGCGTCTCAGTGCTACTGCTATCAGTTAGCGTAGGGCAGTGAGGTCCAGTGCTGTGGTGCTCAGAGTGAGGGCTGAAAATCTTCTGGCATCCTCAGGATCTCTTTGGGATCCATGAGTTCAAAAGCGTTTTCAAAATCAACACGAGAACATTAAATGGTTTTATATTTTATTTGTATATGTGTGTGTGCCTGCATGGGTGTATGTGCACCGCAATCATACAGGTGTCATGGGAACCTGAAGAGGGTGTAAGAGACCCTGGAACTTCACTTCTCAGGTCTCTCCAGTGTGGATGCTGGGAATCAAGAGCAAGGAATACTCCTAACTTGAGTCATCTTCCCAGCTCTCCCTTTAGCTCTTTCACTAGAACATACTGGTGTATTCCACCAGTTACAGAGCAGGAGACATGATGGACTGTAGGGAAGGGTCATCAGGAGTATCTAGTTGCTCCCACTAACACACACACACACACACACACACACACACACACACACTATGATGTCTTAAAGCAGTCCCTTCTGCATTGGAATCACCTGTAAGTCTCTGAAAACTGATTGAGTGGCTCGTACCACGGGCTGATGTAAGTGATGTGTGTTTGCCCACGGTGCACTGGGCTTTCTGGAAGTTTCTCAGACGATGTGAGTGTGCAGCCAAGTCTGCGAACTGTTTCCTTAGGGGTTTTGAGAATTAAACCAGTGATATTCTTCACATTACTGTGAAAAATATAGTTTGTTTTGAGAAAACATTATTTCTGTCACCATGGAATGGCTCTTAACTTTGAAGGGTATAAAGGGGTTCAGAGACCCAAAAAGAGCTTGAGAGATGGATACCCATAGGTAAGGAGTGACACCTCTCGGGCTGTGGAACCAGACTGCATGTTGATGTGACCTACCACAGTAACCTTTGTGACCTTGAGAAAATCTTACCCATTTCGTGCTTCAGCTTCCTTGTTTGGATGAAACAAAATTTGCCTTGGTGTTTTGTGAGGTCAGGAGAGCAGCTCTGTACCATCTGACACAAAGTCTGGGATATGGTAGCTCCATCGGTATCTGTCACCATTGATTACTGAATATTTATTCATTTGCTTCTCTCTGTTACTATGGCAAATACTACAACCGAGAGAAATTTAGAGGAGAAAGGGGGTTCTGTTTGGCTTGAACGTCAGGTCTGAGACTCAAAGCAGGAATCGGAAGCAGGAATCGTGAAGGAATGCTGCTTTCTCTGCTCTCTGACCCATCTCTACAGCTCCCCCCACCTGCAGGAGATATCGCCTCTCACAGTGCCCCAAACATGACCACAGGTCATTTTATCTGGGCAACTACTCAAATCGACCATTCCTCTTCCTAGGTAACTGTAGTCCGTGTCAAGTTCAAAATAAAAACTAAACAGTGTGCTGCAGTCACTCTTGCAGGTGCCGGACTCATAACAATTGACAGCCTTGTGGCTTCAAGGCAAAATTTTCTCATCAACTCATTCTTCCTTTCAATTAATCTTCCCGCTTCATGGAGCAGGAGCCCTTGTGTGGGTGTCTCTTGGGGGACTTATCAGGAAACTGTCATGAGTAGAGAAGTCAGATGACGTGGTCACCCGAGTTTGAACTTCGGTTCATATCTTTACTTACAGAGTGGCCATGCCACAACGAGCAAGAAGAATGATCACACCAAAGTGAGTGTTCTGTTGGGTGAGGAAGTGGCCTTCCAAGGGTACAAAATGGATTTCATCACCCAAAATGGTCCCCCTTGAGTCACCCCCAACCTCTTTTGCTTCAAAACTGCGAGTTTTAAGTATGTATGTGTCTTGGCTCTTTCTCATGAGGAATACTATCCTCTGAGAGGTATTGCTTTGCATCTTTATTTGCACAGTGCTATTCAAGAACAGCATTCCCCAGGTTATCCTCTGGTATACCACAAAGCTGAGGAAAAGAGGGAGATGAGCAGCTCAGTAATGCTGAAGATCATCAGCATGGCCAGAATCCCCTGCAACAGAAGCAAACAGTGGAGTCAGGACATTAGGACAGAGATAGCTTTTCTGGTCACAATGAAGTAGTCGAAACTACACAATAAACCCTCCCCTCTCAACTTAGTGAAGGATAATGGGACTATACTAGCATGGCATAGGAGAGCATTATTTTCTTTAAGAAAAATCAAGCAGAATGTTTGCTAAATGATAGGCAGGTAATTTTCCATTTCATAGGCACAGCATCCAAAGAGGAGTGCATATCAGAAAAGTAGTCTCTTGAAGGACAAAGACAGAAGAAATCCAAGAGATAGGAAATGGTAGAGACAAAAATCGAAAAGGCAAGGAAAAGAGGGGGAAAGGGAAAACTACTGCCCCAGAAAAAGAGCAGCACACAGAAAAGCAGACACGGAGAGAAAGCTAGACTAGAAACACACTCAGTCCTTTCTAATTGCTATAGAAAATTTTGTTTGGTTTTGTTTTTCAAGACAGGGTTTTCTGTAGCTTTGGCGCTTGTCCTGGAACTTGCTCTGTAGACCAGGCTGGCCTCAGACTCACAGAGATCCGCCTGCCTCTGCCTCCCAAGTGCTGGGATTAAAGGTGTGTGCCACCACCACCCAGCTACAGAAACCTTTTAAAGTAGTTGGTACCATGCCGGCTAAGAGCACACATAGCCCTACACACTTGGTCAGGAATTCACAGGCTGGACCCTGGCACAGAGCTGGTCAAAGCCTGCCCTCTTCCAAGACTGGATCCTTCTGTTGCCATTGCAAAGGTTCACGTTATTGGCAGTCTATTCTATGCTGTATTTGTCTATTGTGTTTTTATGATCGCTTGAATAACTATTTAAGATCCCATGGTTTATTTTAACAGTGATCCAATGTGTCATGGTATAAAGTATTTCAATACTTTACTCCTCTGTGACAGGAGCTGATATATTTCCTTCTTTTTTTTTTTCTTTTCGCTGTTTTACTTTGAACAATGCCACAGCAGTGCTCTTGTAACACATGTTTATATATAGGTGGTTTGTTCGCAGTGGAGATCGACACTGGGCTGAAGCTGGGTACCGTTTATGTAAGTGGATGTTGGCTCCTACTCTGCCTCTCAGATGATGATGCATCTTTACATCACGTCTCTGCTTGCCATCCTACTTCCTCATTACTCCTTGACTGCAGCCTGGGACCTTCTGATTGAATCCTGCTGGATGCTGAATGCATCAATTAATAAATGTCCAGGCTTTTGATAGAGAGAAAGCAAGTTGAGGAATTTTATAGATGACTTAATCAAATTGAGGAAGTTCTTCCTCTATTCACGGCTTGTTGAGTGTTTTTGTCATTTGATGGTGAATTCAGTCAAATGTTTTATTTTCTATGTCCACTCAAATATCATGTGGATTTCATCTAGTGTTTTGCTGATATGGTACAATAAATATATAGATTTCTTTAAATATACATTCCGTTCTTGGGGCACATGAAACCTGGTTGTAGTTGGTGATCCTGTGTATACATCACTAGATTCGACATGCTTGTATTTAACTGGGGACTTTAACAGCTATATTTATAAGAAATATAGGTCTATAGTTATCGTCATGTGTTTTTGGTGTTTGGGCCTGGTTAATTTCAGTCTTACAGAACACATATCATCCAGACACTGTCACAGTGTTGTCATGTTAGTAAGGTTGTCTATTAGTTATCTTTATTTTTATTTTTATATTTATTTATTTATTTATTTATTTATTTATTTATTTATTTATTTTTGAGACAGGGTTTCTCTGTAGCTTTTGGAGCCTGTCCTGGAACTAGCTCTTGTAGACTAGGCTGGCCTTGAACTCATTGAGATCTGTCTGCCTCTGCCTCCCAGATGCTTGGATTAATGGCATGCACCACCACCGCCCGGCTCTATTAGTTATCTTAAACCTTAAACTAGCACGGGGAAAATAGAAAGATAAGAAAGTCACAGTTAATGGCCGCTGGCACTTTGAAGGAGGGCACTTTTGCTCCAATAATCTTTAATGGAGAACACGCAGTTGCTAAGCTCAAGGAGTTGGAGCAGCCTATGAGCTGTATCATATCTTGTAGAACACCTACTTTGGAATTTCTTAAGGACTGTTGTTTGAGACTATGTGAGGTGTGCCGGTGATGGTGGTGGTTTAGTAATGCTTCAATATAATCTTCTCTGAACATATCTATATGTTATATAGATAGAAACACATTATATCTAGTATTATATATATATGTATATATTCTCTTGTTGAAAATCATCACAAAGAGTGATGATTAGACTGTATTATTGGCAGAGGAGCGCAGTGTATCTTGTTCCTGTTAGCTGCCATCCATAGAGTCATTTCTTTTTATACAATGTTTTCAGTTTGGGTCAGAAAAAGTTAGAGGGACTTCGAGAAGCTATTGCTCATCTATCCCCATATATCTTTTAGCATTGGCAAGATCCAGTTCAAGTTGTGAGCATTCTTGGATCACCCAGTTGGTGTCTACTGAAAGTTAAAAATCTCAGGGGGTGGGGATGGGGCTGAGGTGTGGGAAGAAGTCAGATGTTTGGTTTGTGGATACAGTTTCTTGGGTTTGTTTTCTTCTCTATTTACTCTGTCCAATCAGTCCTCTGTACCACTTTGGGCAGGGCCTTCTGTTTTATCCTTACTTGAAGATTAGGAAGCCTATTGAGGGCCCAGGACACTGTAGACCTACCTACCTTGAGTGGACATTGGCCCTTCACCTTCCTCTCAGAATTAGATTTCAGAAGGCCAACACTGATGCACAGCTGTGACACATAAGCAGCTTGGGTGTTCGTTAACATTCTGTTTTAGAAATTCCAAGTCCTAAGCTTTTCTTCTACAAACTTATAGTTTGCAAATAGCAAACTTTTGAGGCTTTTAAATGTCTTTGAGTGAGTTTTGTTTTATTTATTTTATAGGTAGCACTTTGTTTTCAGAGGATTGATTTGGAAAGTTCTGCTCAGCATGACCAACCAGTTCCCTCTTCTCTGATCCCCTTATCTGATTTCGGGGGTCCTATTATACTCAATCACACAAAACACTGTCTTAGAACAGCTCTCTTTTTACATGAACCCCATTCTCTCAGGTAGTTTTGAACTTCTTCATCAATTTTTGGTGGCATTTGGGTTAAAGCTGTTGCCTCATCTCAATTAAGTGTGCATTCCACCATGAAGATACTCATGTTAGCAGTCTTTAATGTGCCTACTTGACAATCAATTTATTTCTATATAGATTCATTCATACCTTTTACATTATTTTACACTAATTATTGTTGTATTTTGGGCAGAGCAGAAATGTCTATTTTCAGTTTGCCATACTTTATCAGAAATATAATCTAAACATTAAAATCAATAAAAACCATAGACAAAATTATAATGTATATTGAGAACTTTGAACCACAAGCATACCACTAAGCCTCTATCTTTTAGTATTGTTTTCTATATATATAATACTTATTTTGTGTGCATGTTTTATACACTTTATAAGTTATTGAGTGTTTATTGTTCTACTCCACAATGCCTGCTAAAATGTTGGTTTGGTCCAGTGGACTCTTGAATGTCTTGAGTACAAAGAAATGCACACATGTCCACAATACTATCTGGATGGTGCTGGGTGCTAGCCTTTTTGTTTAAACCATCTGTTTCTCATTCTAGAAATGGCGCAGGGGACTTACAATGAACAGAGTGGTAATAGCACCACACTGACTAGCATCTGGAGAATAGCCACAGATGAATTCTCCATCTAGAAGGAAACCAAATATGAGGAGAATGATTCCAGCTGTTGCTCCCAGGGCACTAAGTAAATTCATCATCTGGCTCATTTTTATCTGCAATAGAATCAGAACAGAACACAAGACTCAGGCCTGCCTTGTGCCACAGACAGAGCAGAGGGGGTGGGTGAGTACTGGAGAGCTAGATTAGTCCCAAACACCAAGAAACCACCATGTGATCATTTAAAACCTTTGCAGCTCATAATAGTCTTTAGGCATTCGTCCACAGTGGGTGAGAGAAATCAGCCAACCTTTGATCCCCTCTCCATCTCTCAAATTCTGTACCTGGGTTAACTTCCATTCAAATAGAGGTAGCTGTGGCCTGTTTAAATGTTCATTTAAGACTGTATTTAACCAAACACTGTACTCATTACTTTGTCACTGGTATCTTCTGAAAATTTCAAACTTTTGGGTCTGGTGAGATGACTCAGCAGATAAATGAACTTGCCACCTGACAACCTGGGTTCCATGCCTGGGACCCACATGGTAGAAGGAGAGAACCAGCTCCCACAAGCTGTCTTCTGACTTCCGCAGGTACATTGTGACTTCCACAGGTACACCATGACTGCCACTGATACACTGTGACTTTCGTGAGGACTGACTACCACGGGTACATTTGTGTGACTGCCCCAGGTACACTGTGACAGCCATGGGTACACTGTGGCGTGAACAAGCACCCCATACAATACCTAATAAATAAATGTAAACATATTTTAAAATTACAAAATGTTAGGATGTTCTTTGATTCAAATGACTTACTGACTTATTACTATCTAATGTCTTTGTTGCTTTGAGTGAGATTGAATACTCTATATCTACAAATTTACATAGACCAGCAACATATTCTTTACCTCTGGAGTCTGTCTATGATTTAATTAGGTTGTCTACATCGTGCTGTTCCTGTGAGTCAGACTATGGCCTGGTAAAGCATCTGGTCTGCAGTAGACTCTAAAACTACTTATGGAAGAGAATGAATGACTAGAGAACTGAGACCCAATCTGCATTAACGACCTAAGATCATAGACAATAGTTGGACTGGTCCGTGCCTCAGTGTCTTTATGTAGAACATGAAACTCAAACACAATAACCTGGAAAAGTCTCCTGATAGCTAATGACTTTTGACTCTATGATGACTTTCAGAGCCAGGCAAAGTACGTAGTAATTATAATTTTTATAAGGCAGAAATAGAACTCACCATATAGTCCGTAGTTTTTCTTTTCAGTGCAATCAGAAATGCTCCAGAGTTAATGAACTACAAACAAACAAACAGATAAAAAGTATCTCCATGATGGACATGGTAAGCTGATGTGGAGTGTTTCTCAGGTCATGTCTCTGTCCACTTCTTCCCTATGCCTCTCTCCTAAGGTCACAGAAACCCCAGGGAAGTGAGGAGGGTGAGCCACCTCTGTCCACAGAACAGAGGACGAAAAAGGGTCATGTCCTTTGTGAGCCACCTCTGTCCAGAGAGAACAAAAGGGCTAGGTCTGCTGAGCCACCTGTGTGAAGAAGAGGCTGTTTTTACCTCACTGGACTTTCAATTTCCTAATCCATTTCCTGTTATTGATATCATGACTCAGTTTCCAAATGACATTAGTGTCATCATTTTAGGAACACTAAGGTCATATAGTCATTATAGTCCAACCAGTGTGTTCTGTTGGATGGGAACACTGGGTACAGTTTTGGTCAACAGACTGGTGAAAGAAAGAAAAGAAAAAGGAAAGGAAGGAAGGAGGGAAGGAAGGAAAGAAGGAAGGAAGGAAAAAAGAAAGAAGAAAAAGGAAGGAAGAAAAGTAAAGAAAGAAAGGAGAGAAGAAAGGAAGGAAAGTAGAGAAAGGAAGGAAGGAAAAAGGAAGGGAGGAAGAAAGGAAGGAAGAAAGCACACACACCAATTTTTATGGAGGTCGATCAAGTATGGGAACCTTGTTGCTTAGTGGAAACTTAAAATCTGAGTTTGGTCCCAGCTATGTTTAAATTTTCAGCCCCGTTTTTCAGCCCCATTTGTAGTGGATGCTCTTCCAGACCGTCAGACAGACAATGAGACCTCCCTGCCTTTATATCCAGACACTGCCCTATTCCCACTCTTTGTATATACTTTTCACCTAAGTAAACAACCCTTCATCCTTTAAGCTCTGGTCTTGCTGGAAATGACTGGAAAGTTCCCTTTACACTTAGGTGTCTTTCCTTTGGAAGCAGCTTCTGCGTCCTTGTCAAATACTTGTCATAGCCTGTGGTATGAGGACTTGTGGCCAGGGACCGTCTTCTACTGAATCCCGCACCCTGTCCCTTCTCTGATGCTAAGAAGGTGATAAATTAATGTGGACTATGTGTGATTAAAAAAACATCTCTGCGTGGCTCAGAAGGCACATTTAGGAGCTGTTTTCCCTGCTTCTTCACTTTCTGCAGAGCAAACTGCTTGCTTATCAACATCAGAAACAACACCACAAAGGTATAAGAAGTACGCTGATCTCTTGGCATGGTTTCTTTCTTATTAGACTGAATGTCCATTGGAGGATAATCAATGTACTAAAATTTGGATCCTTATTGTCTTGCTCTGTAAAAACAGCTTATCATGTGTTGCAAGAAATTTTGGATGAATTAATGGACCAATAAACAACCATAAAACCCAGAGGAATATTCTCTCAAAATTTCAAGACCCAAAGATGGGCTACCATCAATCTGGTGATTCAAAGGAGGATAGACATAATTGCAATGGGGTTATTAAGGCCTTTGTGACATCTTCTACAAAATTATATACCCAAGTCTGTCTTGCTTCATAACTAAGGATTCATTCACTAACACCTTGCCTGGTTGATATGCCTTTAAATTGAACTAAATGCACTGTACTCACCAAAGCAGAGCCCCAAAATGGATATCCTGAGATAAATATAAAAGGAAACCTTGGATATGGGTTTACCAAGGTGAAAAGGAAAACAACTCCAAATGAAAAGTTCATGATTCCACACAGGATCTGGGTTGTCTGCAAAAGAGGGGAAAGTGAGCTCAGAAGAGGCACAGTGGCGGCGTCCATTCTACTTAAATCTTTAGTTATGGATTTGGCCGTCACCCTCTATATAATCTAGGGAAGGATAATATTCCTTGATGTTTTGTTAATCCCTCCATCTGATTTGAATTTAAATTATGGATCCAGCTTGGCCAACCAAGGGGCTTCTCAGGAAAATCCTTTTGGAGGTGAGTGATCCTCTGAGCCTTTTGAAGCAGGGTTGCATACCCAGGCCTATGCTCGTAAGGCATCTTCTCAACCTACTGTTTGTTAATGCTAGGCAGGGGATCTGTGGGTGCTAGAGAAGCCTGGTGAGAATGACAGAAAGGACAGAAAGTGTATGACCCAGGGGGCTTTTTGTCGTTTATGAGCTTTTCACTCTACTGCCTCAATCTGGTCTTTTGCTGCAGTACCAACTTTTAGTGGCTGAATCCTAAGAGGTATGGTAGGTATTTTTGTCATATCTGGGTGTTTGTCCCTTTTAAATGTCCCAATACCAACTCAATCCATATGTCCTCAGATGGGCTCACTTTCCTGCTTTAAGCCTGTTTTTCTGACTTTGTTGTTGATGCTGTCATCCTTTTAGGCTTGGGGTTCACCTATTCTTTTCAACTTCCCCGAGTGCCACAATCCCAAAGTAGCTAACTTTCCTATTATCTCTAGTGGTGAAACCATGCATACTTCAGCCAAAAGGATGGCTCAGCAGGTAAAGATACCTGACACCAAGCCTGACAAGCAGAGCTCGATCCCTGAAACCCAGATGGTGGAAGGAGAGAGTGCACTCTGACCTCCACACGTGTGCTGTGGCATGCATATGACCATCTCTGCACACAAATGAATGGATACAGGTAAAATATAAATAGCAACCTGACAAAGGAATTACAAAATCATACATACTTAATTTGTATCCCATCATCCTGCTGTAGGCAAAATCGGGATGCTTATTTCATAACTTTGTTTTTCTGCGTGTTGGTGGATATACAGAGATATTCTTCCATCGTCCGTCCCTCACCCAGGGCACTCATTGACTTCTTTCACTTAAGATGAAAATGAGATTCTTTATGCTTCCTCTTGGCTTGTTACCTCTTCTTGTATCACAGACCTTCATTACTGGGTCTATTATACTGCGTGGCTAAAACATGACTAATTTATCAGGCAGGTTGAGTCTTTTTATTCTTAGTCTTCTTAAATCTTTTAAGCCCAGGTTGACCCTTCCCAGCTATCCTCCACCACCCCCTCCCTTTGCTTCCTGGGCATCACTTTCCAGTGCTTTCTGCATCTAGTATGCTTCTCTTTTCTTCTTTCATTTCTATTTGTTGGAATTCCATCATTTCTTCAGAATCTACATTAAATGTCCAATTCATTGTGAATTGTATTCATCCCCTTTTAATCGTCCCAGCTCTGGGCTCCCATTGCCACTGTCACTGTTTTTACTCTTATTAGATACTCCATTGAAATACAGTTCTCAGTATATTCATGCTATTTTTATGTTTGAATGACACCTCATTTCCTCAGTGAGGAAAAACTAGCTTGTATTTATTTCTGTGAATACAGCAACTAACATAGGTGCTTGCACCTAATTCCAATTTTGTTAAAGTAATATAAGTGATTTCATTCAAAATTGGATTCCATTGTATTTGAAGAAAGACTGAAGCAGATTGCACTAGTGGTCTTCCACTTGCTATAGGATGATCTTTCTTATTTCCTTTTTGTCTTTTCCCTGAAAAAGTCTACTTTCTATTTTCCATTATGGGAGACTGGAGTTCAAAGGACAAAATATTCTCAAAGATATGGGTGACATTATAACCTCAAACATACCTGTCTACCTCTCACTTTCCCATTTTCTTAAGAAAGGTTTGGTAAATCAAATTAGTATTTGTAGAATGAAGGAGATGATTAATGGAGCCAGGACTCCATCTGTAGACAGAGAACCACAGGCAACTAAAGACTTCTGAGGAAGGGAGAATTCATCTTTCCTATGCTCCAGCCCCACCCTGTGAATTGATTATCCAAGGGCAAGTGGTCAGCAACACTGTCAAATTAGAAGATTGTTTTTATTCATTTTCTTTTTCAAATACAATCTTCTCATTAAACATAGCTATCCCTATTCCCACTCTCTCCCTTTCTCCCACCCTTCCTTCCCCCCACCTCCCCATCTATTCTTCAGAAAGGGTAAGGCTTCCCATGGGGAGTCAACAAGGTCTGACATACTACTTCCAGGCAGGACCAAGGCCGTCCTCCCTATATTTAGGCTGAGCGAGGTATCCCTCCCAAAAAGAATGGACTCCAAAATGCCAGTTAAAATACTAGGAATAAATCCTGGTCCCACTGCCAGTGACCCTACAGAGTGCCAAAGCCTCACAACTGTTCCCCACATCCAGTGGGCCTAGTCTGGTTCTATGCAGGTTCCCCCACTCTCAGTCCAGAGTCAGTGAGCTCTCACTAGCTCAGGTCAGCTGTTTCTGTGGGTATCACCATCATGGTTTTGACCCCTTTGCTCATAATATTGCTCTTTCTTCTCTTGGACTGATCTCCAGAAGCTAGGCTCAGTGCTTCACTTAGATCTCTGTATCTGCTTCTATCAGTTTCTGGTTGAAGGTTCTATGATGACAATTAAGGTATTCATCAATTTGATTACAGGGGAAGGCCAGTTTAGGCATCCTCTCCACTGATGCTTAAAGGCATAGCTGGGTCATCCTTGTGGATCCTGGAAATTTCTTTAGTGCCATGTTTCTTGCTAGTCCCTTAACGACTACCTCAATCAAGGTATCTCTTTCCTTTATCTCCCTCTCTGACCTCCCTTCTTGAGCATCCCATTTCTGGGCTTGCGTGGGAAGGTATAAAAGCATGTGTTGCAGTATGCCTCTTAGGGAATCTGGCCTAGCTTCTACTTGATTGCAACTTTTTTTTTCTTTCTGAAATTGACTAGAAAAATCTCAAAGCTTGTTAGTTTGGAGGTTATAATTTTTAAGAGTCCAGGAACATTGAATTTATTCATCCTGTATTTTCCTGTTCACAGAATCTTGTGCACAATTTATACAGAAGCACAGTGCTTACTTCATAATTGGAGTGGAAATGAAAGTTGGAGTTCATCCTTGTTGAAGAATGTGTGCTCAGATAGTTCTTACCCACCCCGCCCTGTGTAGAGTATACATAGGGACACATTTTACTTACCCCAAAGACCTTCAGTTTTCTAATAAGGAGTTTCTGCACTCGGTTTTGGGCGTTATAGGCTGAGGCTGTAAGAGTTGTTTGTTGTTCTGGACTGGCGACCTCTGGAGGAAATACCAGGAACATGGGACTATTCTTATTGTTTGAATCCATGATGGTGTAGCTGGTCTTTTTAAGTGGAAGGGAAGGATGTAGCTGGTCATCCCATTTAGACCATGTTTGTTTCCTGTACTGAGGCTGTCTAGAGCACTGGCATTATTGCCCTCTGGCTTAGAACCATAGAACCATAAAGTCACAGAGTCATAGAACCTCAGGAATGGCCAAGAGCCCAAAGCTATGAATTAAAGTGCCCACGTCTGTGTATTGCATTGGAGAAGCTGACTAGTGGTCTTGGTTTGTCAGTAGACACTGTGTCCTTGGGCAAGTCACGTAGCCCTCTGTTCTTACAACTTCCTCATACGTATATTAACCTGGGAAATCTTTTAGATCCCAAGTTTCCAGTGTTTCCATTTTGATGCAGAGAGGACAAAATCTCTCAGGCCTTAGAACTATTTATCCATTTAAAAAAAAACACACACACCTTATTCATGTTGCTTCTCGCTTAAAAGATATTTTTTTGCCACCTCGTTTTTGTAGCTTTATGTTATAAATTACCCCACAGCATAGTGACTTCAAAGAACTGCAGTTTTATATTTTTGGGCACTCTGCCATGTACGTTGCTGGTTTCCCCAGCTGGTACTGTTCTATAAAGCCCTCCTAAGTTCTATCATACATCTGTGGCCCGCTAATAGATTGTGTAGTTAGAGGAGTGGGGATAGCTTTAGTCACACATCTCATAGTTGCAGGCTTTTGTTTTGTTTCCAGGACAACAATGCTCCTCAGACATCTGCTGAGTCATTTACTAGTGTCCCATTGGCCTTGGCAAATTCTGTAGGCAGTTTAGACTCAAGTGATAAAAGAACAGACTATTTCATTACTGGGGTCTGGTCTGTCAAACTGCAAGGACATAAATGAGCAAAAAAAAAAAAAAGAATTTGTTTAACTTTTTAAGGTGCGCGCGTGTATGTGTGTGTGTGCATGTGTGTGTGTGTGCATGTGTGTGTGTGTGCATGTGTGTGTGTTTATGTGATGTGTGTATGTGTGCAGGCACCTGTGGTGGTCAGAAGAGGTTGGCACAGTTCTTAGAGCTGGAACTCAAGGTGGTTTTGAGCAGCCCAGTGTGGGTCCCTGTAAGAGTGCTATTAACTATTAACTACTAACTCCAGCTAGCTGTGCAGCACTGCTGTGCACTCTCTTTCTGTTGATTTCAAACCTTCCTTCACTGAGTTTTCTGTCGAGACCAGCATCTTGATAGGTGAAGGTTACATCCATAGGGCACAGTTTGTTCTGAGTGTACCTTCCTCACATTCACCTTAAATGAACATAGATTCCTGCTGATGGTCAGCCTTCATGTTCTTGATTCATTTCTTTTGAGTTCAGGAATCTTTGGGTCAATGTAATGCCCAGTTGCAATGGGCTGTGTGAACTTCATTGCCCATGTTTTAGCTTTGCTGTGGGCCTTTTCACGTTTCTCCATTTTCCTCCCAGGCATGGTAACATTCTCATAACTGCCTGATAAGTGGAGAAATAACTTAATTGTTCATTATGTTTTAATTTATCCACATCCCTTCTCATGATGCACCACAAGATTCATCCTTGGAGCATGAAAATTCAGAATTAATCCTAAACCCTTTTTAAAGAGTTAAATTAAATGTTTATTTTTAAAGAATTTTATACATGTTTCCAATGACCTTTTCTGTGTCTCATACTCAAATAAGTTTATTTACTAGTTCCAGGATCAAGATAAAGTTATCCATTAGCTTCTACATTCATATTATTTTATATATTGAAACATGTCTTATTTAGAGTGATGATGATATAATACAGCTATTTTGTGTGAATTATGTTCTGATATGTAAGTAAGTTTTGGTAATAATAAATGAAAGTACTATCAGTCAGCATTACTTCTTTTATTGTTTCTGTTCTAACCATGATGGTCAAATATTCTGCCTCACTTTATTTCAGTAGTTCATTTTGGCTGTTTCTTTACCAGCTGAATATGTATCTATGATCTTAACTTTAAGAACCTTGACAGTACCACAGTGAGTTGTGAGGATGGTACTGTCCCGTATTTCTGCATTGCAGCTAGTGTTTGCTATTAGACATTTCAGGTTTGTTCACACATGGATGGTGTGTGAGCTCAGCCTTGAAAACCTTTACATATCCTCACATATCTTATTTTCTGACATTATAAAACCTCATCTTTTCAGGAAAGGCCCTCTAATCTTTCCGAAATTTATTTATTTATTTATTTTGCATCCCAACATCAAATCCATCCCTCCTCTGTATTTTTGCTTAGAAAGGGGCATGCCTCCCACCGGCATCAGCAAAGCATTGTACACCAAGCTGCTGAAGACCAAGCACCTCCCCCTGTATTCAGGCTGGGCAAGGCAATCCAGCATGAGGAAGAGGTTCCCAAGAGCCAGCCAAAGCACCAGGGATAGCCCCTGCTCCTATTGCCAGGAGTCCCACAAATAGACCAAGCTATACAACTGTCACATATATGCAGAGGGTCTACATCAGTCCCATGAGGGCTCCCTGGTTGTTGGTTCAGACTCTTGAGTTCCCATGAGCCAGGCTAGCTGTTTCTCTGTGTTCTTCTGTGATGTTCCTGACACTCGGGTTCCTACAATCCCTCCTTCCTCTCCTCAGCAGGATTCCCTGAGCTGGGCCCAATGTTTGGCGATGGGTCTCTGAACATGCCTCTGTCAGTCACTGGATAAACAGTGACAACCTGATGACAACCTGGGTAGTCACCAATCCGATCACAGGGATGGCCACTTCAGGCTATACGTCCACTGCTGTCAGGAGTCTTAGCTGGAAGGCCCTCTAATCTTAAAGTGGTTTATGAATTACTGGATGCTATCTTTTAGGCCTTAATGTTCTCCAGTCAAACCTTTTGTCTTAGTGTTTTTGTTGCTGTGAAGAGACACCATGACTATGAGAACTCTTGCAAAGGAAAACATTTAATTGGGGTTTCACGGGTTCAGTCCATTATCACCATGGCAGAGAGCATGGTAGCATGAAGTCAGACATGATGCTGGAGAAGTAGCTGAGGGTTCTAATCTTGCAAGCAACAGGAAATGGTCTGTCTGTTACACTGAGGGAAGCTTGAGCTAAAGAGACCCCAAAGCCTGCCCCCACAGTGACACACGTCCTCCAACAAGGCCATACCTCCTATGCCATTTTCTATGAGCTTATAGGGGACAATTAGATTCAAACTGCTGCACCTTTATCACGCTGCTACCTGTTCTTGGGAAGTTATGACAATGCTAGCAGTCAGACCAAGTTCAAGACGTCTTCTCTGATCCCCCAAGAACGGCTCCTGTGTCCTTTCATTGATCTCGTGCTATAGATGAACCCTATTTTTCTTTGTTTTGAAATGTCTTTATACTGAAAAATGCTCTCCTTCCAAAGACCCCTATCCAACTGCAGAGAGCAGGACAGTGGCAGGTGTCCTCTGCCTGGGGACGTCCAAGTCTTCTGGGTGTCATTTGCTCTTTAAATTATAAACACTGACTCTAGACCTTACCCCCATGAAGGACTGTGAAAATCCATTATGTCTCCCAATGTTTTCAGCTATTTTGGAGGACTCACAAGGAAACAATAGAGGAAGAAAGCAACTGGGGTTTCTGCTTTGCCGAGCTATCCTGGGCTGGTGTCTGACTTTTATGAATGGGGCGACTCTTTTCACTGTGTTGTCATTGCACAGAATCCTTATTACTTTCACGTAGTAATTATGCAGCATGTCAAGATGCATAGATTATTTTAAAGTAAAATTGAAAACTTTTTATAGAACCCACAAGGGCAGGCACTAGGGAGCTCCTACTGGATGTATCTTCTGACGTATTCTTTCTATTTCCTGTTCATTGACGCATCACTATATATGACCCTATAACCTCTCTATATGTAGTGTTCCCTTTTTGACTACCAGGGATTTTTCTGTCAAAGACAAAATGGTATTTGATTCATGAGGTCAGATGATTTTTTAATGCCCTTGCTCTTTCTACCATCTAAGAAAAAAAATACGAAAGGTTTGTGTTAGCCATAACTAAGCACCCGAGATTGAGGGATTTCAACAGCACAATTTTATTGATTCTAGAAAATTGAAAATATGAAATCTGGGTACCAGGAAAATTAGATTTCAAATCTTTTAAGATTAATATAATTACAACATGTCTCCTTTCCCTTTGTTCCTTTCTTCCAATCTCTCTCATATACCCTTCCTTATTCTCTTTCAAATTCATGGCCTCTCTTTTCACTAATTGGGACTATATACTTATATATTTCTAAATATAACCTGTTAAGTCTTTATGTGTATGTTTTCATGACTAACTATTTGTCACTGAACAACCATTTGGTGTGCCCTTCTCTGGGAAAAATCTCCCACTCCCAGCTTCCTCAGTTGTCTGTACTATAGTTCCTTGTGTAGAGTTGAGAGATGGTGGCCTTTTTTCTCATCCAGTCTGGTATGTCAATTGGTGTCATCCTCATTCAGTTCCTGTCTGGGCAATCATGTTAATAAGACTTTATGGATTTGGTCTTTGATGTTACTACATGACAGAATCTCACAGCAAACTCCCTGATTATGTGGCTCTTACAATTTCTCTGCCCTTAGGTGTGGTTTTGGTTTGTATGCTTCCACTAATACTGTGCTCCACAAATCCACACTTTGAGTCATTGTGGTTTTCTATAATGATCTCTGTCTGATGCAAAGAGAAGTTTCTTTGTTGTGGGGTAAAGATTACACTTGTCTGTAATCTGGAAATGACATTAATGTCCCCTCCCTGAGGACTAATTTTTGCGTGCCAGAAGGTACCATACAAGCTTCCAAAAGAGGAAGGAAACCAATAGTCTTACCCAGCTATGATGCCAATGAACCACACCAACCAGCATGGCACCATAACCTTAAGTGTAAGAGTGGCACATAAATCTTGGTGGAAAACAAAAGCTCTTTAATTATACTTAAGACCCATTTGACAGGAGGGAAACCATATCTGGTACTAGAAACCTAGTTTTCAGTGTTGATGAGATCACGGCTACTGGAGGAGAATCTGCAACCCCTAATTTATTAATCCAGCATAATCCCAAACAACAGCTATACACAGCCGTTCTTATACCAGCAAATTTAGGTTTTTGTGATAGCTCTCTTGGCTTTTAGGTGGTTGATTTCTTCTGATGCCTTTATATGACATTTCCTCAGCTCTCTGGTGTCTATGTAAGTTTCTCTCCCCTCCTTCCACCCTCTTTCTCCCTCCCTCTCTGTCTTGCCTTTTCTTTCTTCTTTCTTTCTTTCTTTCTTTCTTTCTTTCTTTCTTTCTTCCTTCCTTCCTTCCTTCCTTCCTTCCTTCCTTCCTTCCTTCCTTTCTTTCTCTCTTTTTTTTATTTTCAAGACAGGGTTTCTCTGTAGCTTTTGGAGCCTGTCCTGGAACTAGCTCTGTAGACCAGGCTGGCCTCGAACTCACAGAGATCCACCTGCCTCTGCCTTCCGAATGCTGGGATTAAAGTTGTGTGCCACCAATCGCCTGGCTTTCCTTGCCTTTTCTCATTGTCTCTCTATCTTCACCCCTGCCCCCCTCCTATGCGTGTGTGTAAAATTTTTTCACAGTGTAGCCTAAGTTGGCTTCAAACTCACTAGCCCAGGCTGGCTTTGAACTCACATTTTTTCTTCATATTCTTGAGTGCTAGAGTTATAGTCATGTGCCTATAGTAGAGTCTCCTACCATGAGAGTCAGACTCTTCTATTTTCATCTGAACCTAGTATCTTCAAAAGCTCTATTTCCAATGTTATCATCTTAGGAGTTAGGACTTCTGCATTAGAATTTAGAGGTAGGATATTTCAATCCAAAGCAAAGAGTTAATTTGATTAATACTATAAAGCAACATCTATCACCCACTTGTCTGTCATCTATCTAATAACGATTTGTTCACGCAGACATCTATGACTACTACAAGTTTTGGTTGAAGAAAAGCTTCTGCAGAACAGAATTACCTCCCTTTCCTGATGGCCATTATTTAAAAAAGAATAACGCTTACAGAATTTTTTCTGGAGTTTCTAAATAAACTCTCCAGTTTCATCATATATAAAGATGCTAATGAGGCTCTTTTCAGTCATAGAGCACTGTTAGTCATGGCATGACCTGGCTTCAGAATCTTATAAAATGTCCCCACCTCCTGCTCCTAATTGAGCATTTATATATGAGAGCCTGGGTGACACTACTCAGGACGCTTGAAAACACTTCTCAGAGTGCAGAATTAGAATGAAGTTCATTGCAGTCAAGTAGGGAAAGAGAGGGAGGAGCTTGGGGGTTTGAGTTCCCAGATCAAGCACGATAGACAGGATCCACTGTTGTGTGGTCTGAAGGATCCCCTGCTCATCTGTAGATGATAACATTTCTGAAAATGCAGAATCGCATTTAGCAACTGGCTGCGCTACAATACCAGGTGAATTCTCTGTTGTTCAGGGACACCGCTATTAAAGTAAGGACACTGGAAGAACAAATGAGATTCTAAAGTTGGAATGGCTAAGTACGGTAAGACTTTGAAAATCTGAAAACAATGAGCCCTGAATTCTGATGGGTCTACTATTTTCAGGGGAGGAGGTCTCTCTCTCCCCAGTGGGGCCCGGCTATCTGTGTGAACAATCCCTTGCTTTAAAGGACCCTGATGGCCTTTCCTGAAAGAGCCACTGTGTCAGACACTCCTGCTTCTTTATCAGGACATGCTTCTACCCACCCTCATTATTTCTGTACTATAACTGGACTTTACTGACCACAGGTCCCAACTTTGTGGTAAAAAAAAGTCGCTCAGGAAGTTTGTTAGAATACATAAAGAGTATGTGAGGTCCAACATTATGTGCTTCCAAAATTAGCCCTTACCCTCAATATCCATTTCCATGCATGTTCTTGAGGTTTTTGTAGTTACAGATTAGAAAGTTCAGGTGCACACACATGCAAAGAAAACACCATGCAGCTGAGCAAAATGCAGAGCTTCAGAGTTGACAGAAAAGCAAGATTTTATCAAAGGCATCAAAGAGGAAGAGGATTAGAAAACTGTGCTTGGCTTGGAAGACAGAGAGGGGAACTGAGAGTTTTTTTTTTTAAACACAATTCACTTTGGCCACAGAGGGTGAAATTGACTCCCAGTACTGACAAAGCTGTGAGTGCAGGCATGTGAGAGAGAGCGAGCTCTGCAGCTTCTTTCAATACAGTCTAGTTTGCCATATTTTCTATTAGAATATGCATGTGACTACACTTCCCTGACTTCTACGCTTCTCTCTCTAGCTTTGTTTCCTACTTCAGCAAGTATTGGGCAAACATAGTACACGTATCTTCAACACAAATGTGCGGAGAAAAAATATTAGCATATGAGAAAATAGATCCGTTAAGCAGTAAGCTGTGGGATGAATTGACAATCATACATTGGAATACTATAATCGATGACAAAATTTTATAGTTTAGATGAGATTTATTTCTTCACTCCCAGAAGGTTTTGATATAGTCTTGACATCTGGCTTGTTTTCATTTTGTTTGAAAAAGGAATGAGTTCTTTGAAGGTCCTGCATGCCCTTTATCTCTGGTGAGTGAATCAGACAGCCAGCGCAGGTTAGAGAATCAGCTGCTTCCTCCTCATCTGGCTCCATTAGCTGGGGTCTGTGGTTTTTGGTTAGATGTGTATGTCAGTTTGAGTCCTCAGATTGCTGTTGATCTTTTTGATAGCATGAGGAAGAAGTGACATTCAGATCTTTGGGTGAATCTGAACAGGGTGTATTGTTCTGCACCTCTTGCTCTGAAGCTATATTGGATAAACAAGTTATATATGTGTATGGAACCAAGCTCTGACAAGAAACAGGGGAATTATCTGGCCTTATGTCTTCTGACTGCTGGTCTTTTGGTTTTTGGCATGTATTTTCTATGTCTTCTGTGTCTTGGGGTTCCCTGTCTCTTGTTTGTACATCATCTGCAGCATACATATCTCCTCTTAAAACACCAGATTGTTGGTCGTTACCTTGACACAGACCTACTTGAAATACAAAGCTACGCAATTGACGATCTTGGGTGTGTTGGACTATGGTGCTGCGGGGTTGGACTTCTTGATATAGTGCCCTTTGCCTTAAGGATTCTCTTTCTAATAGCTCTTGGGATTCCCAGTCCAGGGAAGGCTGTATTTCAAACTGCCATTCTTGTGCTTTCCAATCTTTGTTTCTCCAGCCTTGACTTCTCCAGTCCTGGGATCCCAGGCTAACAGGCTGCCAGGATGGAGTTGACCAATATGAACATGACCTTTCTGAGAACTGAAAGCTTTGGGAGTCCCAGTCCAAACATGACGGCATCGGGGTTCTCCTTACTAGCGCTTGCTGTCTTTCTTGCTGGCTATTCAGGGCTTTCTGCTCTAGAGGCTGCTCATCTTCAGATGGTTGAACTTGTTCTTCTGGACGTGGCTTTTCATCAGACTGCTGATCTTCTTCCTCCTTACTGTTAAGCTGTTCTCCTGGGTATAGCTCCTCTACAGATTTTTGGTCTTTGCTTTGCTCATCTTGGGGTTGTTGTACTGGGACTTCCTCCTCTTTGACCTGCTGCTGATCAGGTTGCTGGTGGAGGAATAGCTCTGAGGTTTGAGTATATGCATCTTTTTTCTCTGTGGTGTGCTTCTTTGTGGATAGCCAGGCTTTGATTTGCTGATCTATGGATTTCCGTCTTGAAGTTTTCCTTTGTACGTCTACAGAATGTCTCCTTGGGGCTTCGTCACCTTTGATTTGTAGGTCCAGGGAATGTCTCTTGGGAAAGAATATTTTATGTTTGCCTGGCAAGGATAAGGAAAGTCTTCTTGGGGTTTTCTTGCTCATATCAGTCTTCCACTCTTGAGTCAGCTCCATGACTTCTGTTCGAATGTCTCTATAAAATATTTCTGGATCTTGCTGGATTTGAACTTCAGTGTTTAGTGCTTGAAGATCTGAGAATGACATGTCATGGGCCACTGTATCTTGGGTTTGTGTGCTTTGCGATATTTTTTCTGGAGATAGTACATCTTGGTATTTCAAATCATGCGATGGAGTTTCTTGAGAGGAAATCTCTTGTGATGGAGTTTCTTCAGATTGAGTCCTTTGGGATGGTATGTCTAGAGTTAATGTATCTTGGTGTGGGCTTTCTTGGGATGGAGTCTTTTGGGATGGAATATCTTGATATGGGCTTTCTTGGGATGGAGTCTTTGGGGATGGAATCTTTGGGGATGGAATATCTTGGTATGGGCTTTCTTGGGATGGAGTCTTTGGGGATGGAGTATCTTGGTAAGGGCTTTCTTGGGATGGAATCTTTGGAGATGGAATCTTTGGGGATGGAATATCTTGGTATGGGCTTTCTTGGGATGGAGTCTTTGGGGATGGAGTATAATGGTGTGGAATCTTTTGGGATGGAGTATATTGGTATGGAGTTTCTTGGGATAGAGTATTTTGAGATTGAGTATCTTGGAATGATGTGTCTTTAGTTAGTGTATCTTGGAATGACAGCTCTTCGGATGGAGTCTCTAGGGATGGAGTCTCTTGGGAAGGTATATCTTGAGTTAGTATATCTTGGTATGGAATATCTTCTGATTGAGTCTCTTGGGATGATATGCTTTGAGTGAGTGTATCTTGGAATTGCATGTCTTGGGGTGGGGTTTCTTGAGATGGTATGTCTTCAGAAGGCAAGTCCTCAGATGTCAGATCATAAGACTGTGAAATACGGGATGATGGGGGTTTAGATTGTAAGACTTGTGTTGACAGAGCTGCCATTAATGTTTGGGATGATAAACTGTCAGGTAACAAAGGGGAGAAATTATGTGAAGATGGAGCTTTTAGAAATTTGGGTGACATATTTTGGTCGTCAATCAATTTGGGTTGCAGATCAGAGGTTTGACGTGTAATAGATTCTAGGTCCTCATCATTCAGGTTATTGCTTCTAGACTCTTGTGGGGAAGGAATATTTTCTGAAGACTTTGGTGTTAATGGGGGAGGTAAAGCATCCAGTTTAGTTTCTTCCTCTAGGGAGGGTGGAGGGATAGTCTCCTGTTCATCTGGAACATGCATAGAAGATGTACCCTTATCACTTTTCTGTGAGATATTTTTGGGAGCTGAAGGATTTCTTAAGCCTCTTAACTTGAATAAAGCATAACCCCCTAAGAAAATGGCTGTTACATTTGAAGTTGTATTATCACTGGAAGATTTTCCTTGGAACTCAAATTGTAATTGATTATTTTCTTCAGGCACAGGCTGTTCAGTATTTTGAGGAACTTCTGAAGGGAAGAAGAATACAGCCTATAATACCAAGGGGAAAACAGAGTGTTAGTAGGCCACAGCTGTCTTTTGTCATTTTCTTACTGTATTCTCATACTATCTTTCCTCTCTCATGTGCACATGTAAGTAGAAGGGAGATGAAGCTCTCCAGCCTTTGCTGTCTATTCATCAGCATTGATTTGGATGAGTCACTATTCATATATCCTAGATACTGAACAAAGAGATTTGATCAAAATTGCCTTTTTTCATACTGAATAATACTAAATTTTCTAAGACATTTAAAGTATCCAGTTAATATTCATATATTTGAAATATCTAGTTAATGTCCATATACAAATGTCTACTATTTGATTTGCTAATTATTTAGATGAACTGAATGTTGGTGATTAAAGACAATCAGAACTCACCCTTTAAGTGCTGAAAATTATAACCAGAATAACATATGAGTAGATGATGATAAAAATCACCCAGTACGATGCCTACTATTGAAATAGGTACTAGGTTCTGAGGAAGAAGTTAATTTATAGTATCATTTAAAGGAATGATACATTCAAGAAAAATGTCTATCCAAGAAGATGAAAGAAAGACTTCTACGTTGAAACCTCCAAAATATTGCTGAATGTATTTGTAAGAAGAATTAGACAAATGGAGATCTTCTCCATGTTTTTTTATAACAAGATAAACTTGTTTAAAAAATCAATGCTATGCAAAAATATACAGATTTAATGCTATCCGTGTCAAAATACAAATATCCTCATTCTCAGTTATACATAAAACATATTTCAAACTTATATGGAATCTTAAGGAGGCCAGAATAGCAAAACTATTTAATCAGAAGAATATTTGGTGATATAATAGCTGCCTATTTTGAAACCTCAATGAAGTTATGGTAAGATAGACAGGTAGGTAAAATAGAGGACCCAGACACAAGCATGATATAAATAGTTCATTGAGTTTCAACAGTGATGCCAGGATCACTCTGAAGGGACAGGGTGGGATGAAATATTTATAGATCATGTGTCTGATAAGAAATTACCAAACTGTATATATTATAAAACATTACAGTTCAACAACAACAAATGAGCAACCTAATTAAGAAATGGGCATGGGTCTATAAAAATCTCTTGTTCAACCTCTTGATCTACCTCTGCTAAGAGGTATATGAAAATCGACATTAACCTTTGGGATGGTGGGGTTGAACTACATCTTGATTGTGATGGTCATTAAGTAGATATGTGTAATTTGTCAAAACTTGTCGTACAGCATACTTAGAATGGGTGTGTTTGATTGTTTAAAGTTAAAAGCAAGCAAGGAAGCAAGCAAACACTGTAACTGGAGATGTCTCATTCATTTCTGGCCACCCAGATCTGAATAATCACATAGAAACTATATTAATTCCATCTCTGTTTGGCCTCCTAGCTCAGGCTTCTTATTAATTAACTCTTACATCTTAAATTAACCCATTTCTATTAGTCAGTGTATTACCACAAGGCTATGGCCTACTGGTAAGGGTTCAGTGGCATCTGTCTCCTTTGGCAATTACATGGCGTCTTCTTAACTCTGCCTACTCTCTCTATATATCTCTCCTTGGATTTTCCACCTGGCTTTATTCTGCCCTGCCATCAGCCGAAGAAGCTTCTTTATTAACCAGTGGTAATAAAACATATTCACAGCATACAGAGGGGAATTCCACATCAAAACACTGTCAAGCACAGTCCAGACTGCTGTCATAACTCAGAAAACACGGCCAGGAGCAGCACCACACTAGTCAGAACAAATCCTATGTTCTGTCATACCGGAGATGTTAGTTAATCCCTGTGTTAAATCTTAATTCATTTTGATGTAGAATAAGGGTGTTGCTATATATTAAAATGGTTATTATGTTGACACTGAGTGAGTATAATATTGTTTGACATTATAAACGATCAGTAAGGGGATATGCTCCTGGTGTCACAGTGCTATGGATTTTCCACAAAGTCCCATATTTTTTTATTATTTTCAGGATGATAAAGAATTCTATATGAACAGAGATGACTGAGGACAGTAGATAGTACAAGGATGGAAAGCAAGTTATTTTAAAGTGAGCATCACTCTTAAGCTTGGACCCCTCTGATCTTCCTAATTTAGGAGTTTCAGTGTGGCATTTGAGCATATTGCCTCTGCACAGAAAATAGATGCCAGTGTGGGGTGATGATCTCAGTGTGGATGCAGTAGTACCAACCTCTGTGCTGTTTTTATCCTTAGAGGGAGGAAGTGGGAGGACAAGAAAATCAGGATTGTTGGAAGCTTGTAGGCAAGCTGGCCTGGAGTATACAGTAGTGAGCAGCAGGAGAGACCTTTTCTCAAATCAGAGGTGAAAACCAATATCTGTGGTTGTCCTTCTATCTCCACACTCACACTGTATACATACACACAGAACACACACGTGTATACACACGTACATGCGCACACACAGATATTCAATTCTCATGATAATCTTGGGCGCACCTTTCTCGAACTGGTCCAGCAATTGCTTCTTAAGGATGCAATAGTCACAGAGATGCTGAACTCCACAATGGTGATGATTAATAAAATGGACAAAATTCCCTAAAAATAAGAAGGAGAAAGAAATCATATTTAGGACAGAAGCAGCATCACTTTAAAAACAGAAGCCAAGAATACTTTAGACCCTATGACCCAGTTTGGGAAAACTTACATTCATACTGTTCTGTCGCTATTAAACATTGCATCATTTTCATGTCTCTCTGATGAGGAGTGGGTAACAAACTCCAGTATCAGTAGGGCTAAGATAGTCTTTGGAGTGAAACAAGAAAGGGCACAGTAGAATGCAGTAGCATTCCTATAATCACTTGCCATTTAATTACCAAACCTTGTTTTGTTTCCTGTGTGAGAATACAGTACCCCAATGCCTGCTTTTTCCTGCCCCAAGGCAGCTGGGGATGCCCATGTTTTGGAAGTGAAAGTTTCAGTTATGTATTCACCTATGTGTCAACTAAAACAAACCTACAAGATGGATCGAGTACCCAGGTTGACATTTTGCAGGTGCTACTTTAAGGTAGTGTCTTCATTGAGAGGCACGCAGTGTGGTATTCTAAAAGCTTAAATACTGAGGGCAGCAAAAGCTGGGTACAATATTGTGCGCAAGGTCACACTTACCCTGGGAGCGTGAATAAAGCTCCCTGTCTCTCAGTTTCTTTTGAACACCTGCAGAAGCTTAGATAATGGCCTGGAGTGTGTACACACCCCGCTGTGTTAAGTCCCGTGCTGTCTGCCTTCCAGCAGGAGAGAACTGGCCCCAGTCCTTATAAAACTTCCATCTATGCACTTGGATCGAGTAGGGCAGGATTTTATTCCCTATAATTGTTTTCTGACTCTCCTTAGGAACCCAAGTATAATTTGGGACCTTATCTCAGCACACTCAAAGAGGTCCTTTAGTTTACTTCAACAGATGATTACAGGAATTAAATCACAGGAGATAATTTCCCATGATTCTACTTCACTTTTGTTTTTATTGTCGAATTTTCAAATTCTAGGATCCAAGTCTTCAAGATGTTGCTATCAGAAACAGATTAAAAGTCCAGAGTTTTCTTTGGGACCAGAGGAAAAGGCCCATTGGCATCTTTGACATGATTAAAAATGATGTTGGGGTTGGCATGGTGACAGCACTTTGGTATCAAGCCTGACAGCCTTAGTTTAAGCCTCAGAATCCTCATGTTGAGAGGAGATAAAGAACTCCTGTAAGCGGTTCTCGAATGTTCACATGCAAGCTGTGGCATTGTGGACCACACATACCTCAAGCAAATAAACGTAAAAAATCATTAAAATAATTTAATGTCGTGTATTGCTTATATGATAGACTCTTAAAACCTTAATTTTAATTAGGAGCTAGAGATAGTCAGAAATTTTGAGCACTGGCTCTTTCCTGGAGGACCTGGCTTCACTTTCCAGAATCCACACTGTAGCTAATAAACATCTGTAATTCTAGTCCCAGAGCATCTAGTACCATCTCTTGGCTTCAGAGACACTAGGCATGCACATGGTGCGTAGTCCCACATTCAAGCAAAACACCCACACATACAAAAATAAATTAACAAAATAAAAACCACATGTATAATTATATTTCCTCATAAATTAATATATCATATACGCTACCAAGTAAAAATTTACAATGATATGAAATGGCTTGTGTATTTAAAAGATTGCAACTCCTCACTTTCTCCCACAATATTTTGTTTTATACCAATAGAGTAACTTTTTGATTAGCAAAAAGTAAACTCTAATACAATTGAAGTAATAATAGTTATAATATAGCTATTAAGTATTTATAACTTTATCAAGTATTATTTGAAGTAATCCTTACCACAGGTCAATGAGGCAGCTTTTATATTAATATCTTAAATTTTTACAAGAGAAAACAAACCAAGATACGGAGGCTGTACAATGTTACACCAAGCTCACAAGCTCCCCGGAGCTATAAGTAGGATTAAAAATCAAGAGACTGTGGTTCTAGAAGCAGCTATACTTGAGGTCAGGGGTAAAAAGCAACTCATCATTGTGCCGTGGACATAGCCTGCCTGGCTAAGGTTACACAGACTCCTCATCCAGAATCAGGTCACTCACAAGGAGAAGCGTTCTGCCTACGACACACGTTCCTTCGAGGGAGGGCGCCTGGCAGAATTTGTGCTGCTGTGTAAAGCTGACGAGGATCAAGGCAATCCCAGCTAATGCAACCAGCGAGCTGAGGATATTCATGGTTGTGACTCCTGGTCTCTGGAAAATAGGGTTAAGACATGGTAAAATAAATAAAAACTAAAGATAAAGATACCTTGTAGGAAATTCTCAGAACTTTTCTAGTTCTAGAGTCTGCATCAGGTCCATGTGATTGGAAGGTCTGACAAGTTCAGTTCTGACTGGTCAAAGCCAGAAGGCAAAGCAAACTGTAGAATGGGCCAACAATGCCCTGTGGTTAGTGATCCTGAAATGTCCATCTCATCTCAACACAAACCATCTTTCACAACCTGGAAGGACATGGTGCCTTGGGAAGTATCTCACCTTGGAAATCAGATTTGATTTTGAGTCCTGCTTTTATTAGAATTTGTACCAACTATTTAATCTGTCTGAGTCTCAATTTCTACCTTTGAAAATGAGAATGACTTAACTATAATAATTTATTTTCTAAAGATTTAGTGCATATACTAAATATATATCATTACCACATTAGGCCCCAGACATATAAAGATTCATGTGCGAACTGACAGCTCACCATCTGCCTCACTTACATCCCCCAGGAAGTTTCAAACAATGACCAACACAACTGTCTGGTTAAAGATGGTAAAATCTGGATTAGGGGTTAAAGTTGCCCTGTTTTGGTCTTCGTGCTCCACCATGGGAGACATAAAAAGCTGATTGCTCCACTTAGTTCCTTTTAATTTTTAAAATTATTTTATTTATTTTATGAGAATTTCATATGTGAGTATTGTGTTTACATCACCCCCCCACACTCCAGCTTCTCCCGCGTTCTGTCTCCTCACTCCTCAAATTCATGGCCTCTAATTATTAACGATTATTTTTTACATATATGTACGTATAAATTTGTAATACAACTACAGAGTTAATTAGGCATCGTTCATTTGTATGTTTCTTTAGGACTGAACACTTGGGATTAGATCATCTATGCGGCTTATCCCTGAACAAATTGATTGCCCCTGTCTCAGCAGTCATAGATTATAGTTCTTCAACTACTAGATTGTAGTTCTGGGCTGAAGCCCCATGATATTTCTCATTCGTATTGGCATGTCAGTTGGTGTCATTTTTCAGGTCTTATTTAGGCAACCATGGTGGTGTTGAGATCACGGGTCCAGATCCCCTGTCATAATGGAAGATGCAGTTGTACAGTAGATGCTCTGGCCCTTCCAGTCTTTCTTACACCCTGCGTGCTGTCCCCTGAGCCTCCAGTTGTACTGTAGATAGATCAGTTGGTGTTGGGCACCCTCTGCTTAATTCCTTTTATTCGTTCCCAGTACATTTGATGGGAGAGGTGGGCATGTCTGAGTTTCTTACAAGAGAGCTGTGTTGTGGGCATCATATTATTTCCTTCATCATCATTCTTAATTTTTAGAAAGAAAGTGTCATTCCAGAGTGTATATGCTGTACCTCTGTGGGCTGTATCTTGTCTGCTAAGGTTGGAAATGAAGCCATGAGTTTACATTCCTGGAGCTGTGGCAAGACTGGGAAGTGCACTTACAGCTATTCACCCTAAGCTGAGATCTTTATTGAAGAAGATCTTTATTTGGTTTTGGCAAAACACACACACACACACACACACACACACACACACACACACACACATACACACACCCTCAAAACCCAAAAAGACACAAAACCAAGGAGCATGCAAATCTGTCATACACTCTCCATATTAAGTCTTTTGGTCTTTTTAGTCTCTGTTTTGGCTTCCACAGGGAACATTAACAGACTCAGGTCTCTGAATATATGATCCCTCATGCAGATTGTGTCTTACAAAGAGCACACCCAGCCCTAGTCCCACCTGATCCTTATTATGGGATTGTCATATCAGGTAGACCCTTACTGTCCATCATGTAAGGAATTAGGAACTAAGTGACTGTGGTCATCCCATCCATGCAGTCCCACCCCCGTGTGTCATGCCATGCCTTCTTCCGTCTGTAAAGCTCTCCACGAGGCATAGATAACCTTTGTGGATATCTCAGCTCTGGAAGAAGACAATATAGATGCTATCAGCATCTATCTCCAGAGGAGCAGATGGAGGCCTTCATCCCTCTCCCTAGGACCACTCTAGGGTTTGTAACTATCCCCAGGAAATTGACAGAGAGCCATGAAAACGGATCCAGTGACTCAGAGAGGAAGCCCACAGCTCTAGGGCTTCCTGCAATGATTAGCTGAGAATAAGAATATTTACACAGCACCAAGCCTTTTGTAAGTATTATCTCAGTCCTCACAGTAGCTCTTAGGAATCTCCCTTCAAGTTGACAGAGCAATGAGAGCCAAGCAGCTCTGACTCAGTCCTACAACCAGGACAGGCAGAGAGAGAAATATAAGGTGACAGGAGACAGAAGCTCAGGATTCAGTCTGAGGTTTCATAGAGAAGGCATTCAGCATTCAGTCTAAGGACTTGTAGCGACGGGATACCCCATTCGGTCTGAGGATTTCATATAGGTATGAACTAGTGACTGGCTGCTCTGCTTCTCTCTGATCTTTCAACTTTCACCCCCCTAGTATCTGACTCTGGGTTTTTATTATTAAGATCAATTAAAAATTGCACTACAGCCCCTGAGCAAAGCACCTGTTGTCATTGGAGGCGGGGCTGGGGATAGAAAGTGAGGGTGACAGGGTTCTGGGGTGGGTTTGGTTCAGGTAGTGTTTTTCAACTTTGAAACTGTAGATGTTTTGTTCAGATGATTTTTCTATTGTTGTAGGAAGTCTTCCCATGTTCCCATTGGTTTAAAGCTTGTTTAGAGGGGGCTGAAGGGAAGACTCAGTGGTTAAGAGCTGGCTGCTTTTTTAGAGGACCCAGGTTCAGTTTTACATAGTGGCTGATAAATATCTGTAACTCCAGTTTCAGGGGATCTGATACCCTCTTCTGGCCTCTTTGGGCAAAACACTCCTACACATAAAATAAAAACAAATTCAAAAAGTATGCTTAGAGACAACCCTGGCTCTTACCCTCCAGCTGCCAATAGTATATCCCACCTAGTTTTGACAACCAAAAGAGATCTCGGATGTTGTGAACTATTCCCTGTGGAAAGAGAAGGAGCAAAAATCTACTCCCAATTAAAAATTATTTAACTACAACAATATAGGATGGTTCCCAATGGGTAACTTTCAGTTCTCTTGACAAGAGAAGTGGAAGAAAGGGAAAGAACACGGGGCTAAATCATCCACAGGTTGGGTTTGAACCACAAATTTGATGCATAAAAGATCTTCCTGAGAAACACTGAAGCTTAAGACCAAAGCTGCTACAAAGCAAATGGATTTTAAATCAGGTAGACATGATTAAAACTACTTACCAGATTTCGTCTTAATTTATCATTGAACACTGTGATGAATCCTGTCAGAAAAAACTGTTGGGAAGACAAGAGGCAATGGTTAATAGGTGGTCCATCCAATCTGTCTACAACACAGGCTCCTCTGGGTTTTCAAGCTGTCAACGGTACTCCCCCTCCCCAGCATATAGTCTTTCCAACCTGAGTGTTAGGGAGGAACATCCTTGTTTTAATTCCATCTATAGGGGTTGGTGTCGGCACCTGGATCTTAGCATCTAAAATCCGTATGCTGCAATACAGACACTGGGAAGTTTCTGCTGGCATTCCTCTGCTCCACCTGCCCCCCCCTCCACCTCTAGACTTCCTCATGCCCTCTGTCTTGGGGCCTCACAGTATCACCTTCCTTCTCTGGGCAACACAACCTTTTTCTAGTTGATGTTCCCAGGATGGCTGTCATCCTTGAATTCATTTCCCCCTCAAAACCCCACAGTGAACTCTATTGAGAACACACCTTTCAACAAAAAGAAGAAACACGGTCATCAGTAGACACCATTTGCCCTGATGCTGAAATGCATACAGCTGTGTTTAATGCTACCCTCTTCACAACAGCTAGAGGTGGAGCAGCTCAGATGCCGTTAGCTAATGAGCAAACAGTTCCTAGGTGGTTCCAAGTTATGCCACGGCCATGCACTTTTCTCAGTTGTTTTCCCATGACACACCCTTAGCTAGTGCCTTTGGTCATAGCCAGGGGAAGCATCCATTCCTTTTGCCGCAGCTCGTGAGAATCCCTGTATGAAGTGCTTCTCTGCCTGGGGGCCAGGCGGGTCCTCCACTACACCCTCACACTGTTCTCTGGCGCACTTCTCAGGAAGGGCTTTTCCCCACAGTACTTAGAGATCTGGAACATTACCAAGAAGATGTAGTTGTGTGTTCAGTAAATGTCTTTCCCATGAAGACTGATTTGTTTTAATTTAAAAGTCATTCTTTTTTCAATTTACATACCAATTGCAGTTCCTCCTCCACCCCTCCTCCTGTTCCCCCCCTCACCTCCCACTTAGTTCCCCATCCACTTCTCAGAAAGGGTAAGGCCTCGCATGGGGAGTCCCCAAAGTCTGTCTTGCCAGGTTGAGGCAGGACCCAGCCCCTCTCCCTAGTATTGAAGCTGAGCAAGGTATTCCTCCTTAGGGAATGGGCTAGAAGAATTGATGTTTTGTTTTTTGTTTTTTTTTTCCCTCTTATTTTCATCTTTATTGTTTCCTTTATCCGGTTATTTCTTTTTTTTTTTTGATTTTTTTTGGCTCCTGATTTCTTTTTATTTATTTATTAAAGATTTCTGTCTCTTCCCCACCGCCGCCTCCCCTTTCCCTCCCCCTCCCCCAATCAAGTTCCCCTCCCTCGTCAGCCCAAAGAGCAATCAGGGTTCCCTGCCCTGTGGGCAGTCCAAGGACCACCCACCTCCATCCAGGTCTAGTAAGGTGAGCATCCACGAAACTGCCTAGGCTCCCACGAAACCAATAGGTACAGTAGTATCAAAAACCCATTGCCATTGTTCTTGAGGTCTCAGTAGTCCTCATTGTCCACTATGTTCAGC